CCAGTCCTTGGGAGACAACGTAGTCAAAGGGGAAATTTCAGGAAACTTCCAAAGATTCTTAAAATCCCAAAAACATTCCCCAAAAGTAAAACACTAACAAAATTATTTGTTCAAATACCATTGTCGGGAATCCTTTGAAAAGTCACCACGGTTTGCTTTGCGTTTTACAAACCTCATCATGGTTCTCAATTCCCAACCATCGTCGTCAATCTCCGATTCTGATGGGGTCCGGTTGGCCTTAAGGTAGAGGGACTCAATCTCATGTCTAAGACTTCCGATGTCAGGCAGCTTGAGCTTGGAAGTAAAAAACCTGTGCAGCAAAGGTGTTAAGACATCCTGGTTGGCCTTACACTCCTGGATCGATGAGTCGGTACCAGACTTCTGCACTGTCAGAAGCGGCTTTCCATCTCGAAGCCTGTTCCTTATGGTCTCAATTTCGTCCCAAGCCTTTGCAAGCTCAGTTGTATCAAAGGAATCACCCATGGTGACCAACACTGGCACTGACACTTGTCAGATTTTCGAAAATGGATCGGTCCCCTTGAGCCAAATCCGTTGAAGATAGAACCATCCTGGTTGATATACCCTACATCATGCTACTAGTTGTCTCTCAGCCCTGCTTCCAGGAGGTCTGAGTTCCCGGCGTGGCATACGCGAATGGCTGAAGCAGGTGAAAACGTCTCTGGTGCGACTTGAGCGGAAGGGAGCGGAAGAAACGAGGGAAAACATATGAAAACATGTTGAAATAGAGGAAAAGTAGGATATCCCACTTTTGTCATCCAAATGCAGGAAATTTCTTGATCTTTGCAAATACCCAGGTTCTTGATTCAGATCCTGCTTTTTTCCAGGTTTCTGAAGTACAAGGTATGTATAATATATATGTATATATTATATATATATATGTGATATATATGTATATATATATATGTATAAATATGTATAATATATATATATATTATAATTATATATATATTTATGTATACTATGTATATTTATGTAATGTATATATATATATAAAGATGTGTTATATATATATATATGTTGGTTGAAATTACAAGGCATTACATCACAAGCATCATATTACAACGCGCTGCGCCAGCTACATAAATAGATACAAAGATCGATGCAAAGAGAGGCACATGCATGCATACATACGTTCGAAACATGCATGCACACGTGCCTGCAGGCATAAAGGCAGTCCGTTAAGTTTCATTATGTTGCCACTTTTCCTTTTTGCTTGCATTGCAATGCACCATCTCGATACATACATACTAACAAACAAAGATGCCAGCATAGATGAGAACATAAATGCAGATTACAGAAATATGCATAAATATGTCCGTCGAATTTTGATTAAAACACGGATGCATAACAAGAACACTAAATACAGGTAGATTGGATGACAGAAAATTAAAGGTTGGGAAGGATTAGACAAGCGATAGAGGAAATAAAGATAAATAGATTGATGGATAGATGGATGGATGGATGGATAGATAGATAGATAGATAGAATTAGGTAGATAGATAGAATTAGATAGATAGATAGATAGATAGAATTAGGTAGATAGATAGAATTAGATAGATAGATAGATAGATAGCTAGATAGATAGATAGATAGACAGATAGATAGATAGATAGATAGATAGGGAGATAGAGAGATAGAGAGATAGAGAGGTAGAGAGGTACGTAGGTAGGTAGGCAGATAGATAAGGCGAAGATAGGTGCTATACAGATGGACGGGTAGATAGATAGACGGCTTGGTAGATTGATCGATAGATAAACAGAGAGATGACGAGAAAGAGAGAGAGAGAGAGAGAGTGGGATAGATGCATGGATACACAACACATAGATGTAGATTCATAGATACATAGTAGACACACAGATACATAGATACATGAATACATAGATACGTAGCTTAGATACATAGCTTAGATACATAGCTGAGATACATAGTTTAGATGCATAGCTGAGATACATTGCTTAGATACATAGCTTAGGTACATAGCTTACATAGATAGATAGATAGATAGATAGATAGATGGATATGATAGATCGGATAGATTAGATAAAACAGATGGACTAGATAGATAGATTAGAATAGATAGATAGATAGATTAGATAGATTAGATAGATTGGATGGACGGACGGACGGATGGATGGATGGATGGATACGTAGGTAGGTAGCTAGCTAGGTAGGTAGGTAGGGCTAGAATGAAATATAGATCTATGGATACCGTAAAAAAGCATTCACATCGCATGAACCTGCATTCCACTACTCTGCACTTGAAGTCCCAGCGCAACACAGATCAACACCGCTATTGCAGCGCAATATAATTATTTTTATTTTGCATTGACTTGCCGCTAGATCCGGAGATGATCATAGCTGTCCAACTTTCGCGCTCTTGTACTTCCGTGCGCGTTTTCGCGTTTTCGCGTTTTCGCGCTTTCGCGTTTTCGCGTTTTGTTGCCCGTTTTCGCGTTTTGTTGCCCGTTTTCGCGTTTTGTTGCCCGTTTTCGCGTTTTCGCGTTTTCGCGCGGAAATGCCGCGCACCACCGGGGCCGAGACACACACATTTCCTGCACAGCTTCTAGGCCCTTCCTCTCTTCCCAAGCTCTCTTCCTTCACGGGTGAATTCTGGAACCATGGTTTCTGGACCCTTTGGGTCTTCAAGTTGCTTTTCAGAACCAGTTGCGATTTCGGCTTCAACTCGCTGCTGGGCTCGGCGCATTTCATCGATGCCCTGGTCCAGTTCAGCCTGAGTTGCCCTTCTTCTCGGAAACATAGTGGCCAGAGCTGCGTTGGGCTCATAATCTAGTGGATTTAACCGCCAGCCCCGCCACCAACGGAATACCCTCGCCTCCAGATCAGCAGCTCAAAGGGTTTTTGGCTCCATCGCAGAAGTCTTCGAAGGTTCTTGAAAGGCCAAAAGGTAGCTGCGGATGGCAGCATATGAATTGAAGTTGCGACTGGCACAAATGGAAAAAGTCTGGTGAGTCTGGTGTCCAGCACTTTTGATCTCCATGTTGCCACTTCCTAATCGGGGCCCTTCAAATCAATCAAAGGTGGCTTCTGAATGGGTTTTAGATATTCCCCAGCACACCCTCAACTTTACATATTGGCCCGTCCCTTTGCTAAACATGCTTGTGGTAAAACGAAACCGATTTTGGTCCCAAAACATAGCGGAAGACACCGAAGCCGCCAAATTTCGGGTTCCAACTCTGGGGCCTTGCAAACATGCATTGCATTGCACGAACTTTTGCTTCTTTGGGGCTCTTTTTGGTGATTCTGCAAAGCGTCTCTGGCCCTGCTTTCCCCATTCGGGGCCCCACACACACACACACAGTTCACACACACATACACATATTTGTCGATGGATACACATATAAATATATAAATACATATATATGTATGTATGTATGTATGTATGTATGTATGTATGTATGTATGTATATACACATATACATATACGTACACATACATATACAATCAAACTATACGCTGTAAGTATTTTTTGTGTAAATTTATATTGATTAATAATTTGCTTAAGTGTTGTTATGAGTTTTTTTCTACATTTCGTTGCCTGTCTTGAGCCATGGCTGAACATGTTTTCGGGTGTGACAGCTGCTTTGGAAGAGTGGGTGCTGTGGTTAGAATGTGGATATGGCTCAATGTAGGGGAACAAGTGGCCCCAAAAACGGCAATCTTGAAGGTTCCATTATTTGAGCCATACCAATGAAATGCTGGACCCAAGGCCCCGCGATATTCTGGCACCAAAAGCAACTCATAGCCACTTTTGCAATCTTTTCCGGGGGTCTGCCATGGTTTACCGCATTTATTTGTTTGAAAAACATCTCGAACCCAAGAGCAACACACACACACAGGTGAGTCATGTGGCTGAACATTTAGCTGTCTTCAGATTGCGTGTCTCTCCCGCGTAGGCAGTTTGATTCAAGCCGATCTATCACGGGAATTGACTACAATCGAGACCCATCAATGAACCTTGTACGTGAGTGTAAATGGAGGGTTCTTTGACATGTGAGGCTGCGCCAACTGTTGTCCGGACCCGACAACTTCTACAAATTCCACAACTTCTATAAGCTCCACGACTTCGACCACAGGAACGAGCCCGTCCACGACAGGGACGTCAAGTTTCAGCTCGACCGCGACGACAAAGAGTCCCTACAGTGGCGTTGCCAAGAAAATTTCGATGGTGTTTGTGAATTGGATATGATTCAAAATGTAAGAAAAAAACAAGTTTGGATTAAATTACAGATGACACTGACTCGATTTTGAGGACCTACTGGTGACCCATTTTGAAGATTTGTGAAGGACTGTTTGGGTAACTTGAGTGAACTAGGGAACCTCAGCCAGTGGCCAGGCTAGTTTTTTTTTGACATCCAACGGGGCGACCCAGCCCCAATTCGCAAGTTACGACACGAATGTTTGATGTTGTAAAGACGCGTGGCAGGATAGTCCACTTCCTGCAAACGCTTCTTTCATTAGGGGAAATGAGCTCATGCAAGAGAAAGGAATAGTGGTGCACCCTGCAGTTCCAAACTTGTTTTTTGCATAGTAATATGGCAATATGCTGTAGACATCAGCAATGCAGATTCTCTGCAATATAGCTGAATAAAATATGTTTCCCAATTTGTAGAGGCTTGGGGGCCACAGGTCCTAAATCCTCCACATCAACTTGGGGTTGATGTGGACTGTGTTTTTTCATGTTTTTTTCCGTGTTTGTGCTACGTTTTAGGCACCACCGGTGGAAAACTTGAAGCGCCATGAAGAACGACGCTTTGTTTTCAAATCATATTGACATTGAACAGATTTCTGCAGCGTCCTGCTTTGAAATGGATGTTTTTAGCGATAAGTTGATTGGATGACGTCCTCATCTGATTAAATAAGTCCACTGACATCCCAGCTGTTTCAGTGGGCCCTCCGCTGAGCCGAAGGTCACTATGGTCGCCACCGCCGATTCCGCAGGATTCGGCGGGCTCGCCAGCATGGCTCGCGCTGACGACCCAAGATCCAAACGACAGAGCCATGGATCAAAGGTTCAGACCCTCCACGGGACCAGAAATGTGGTTAAGCGTCGAGTTTTAGACATATTATATTAATTTATATTATATATTACTAGTTCCGGACGATCGTTGTGTGGATGACAATCATTTTGATATCTATCCATGCATCGGGTGTGGTAATGATCTGATTTAGTTTGCACGCTTGACAAGCTGGAAACTCCTCCAAGAAGAGCGTGCAGGGTCGGTTGTTGGTGAGTTGTTGGTGAGCTCAACGCACAGTTTGAATATGTTTGAATTATCTTTCACTAGATCTTCTTCCTGGTTGGAATGTATCCAAGTGTGTCTACTTCAGGGTTTTCTTTATGTTTTGAGTGTTTGGTCAGTCGTGCTCCGGCTCAGGAAGGCTAATCTTTTCGCTCCGTCAGATGTAAATGTTTCAGCGGAGGGCCAAAAAGACGCCTTCAAAGGTTTCCAAATTAGGTTCAGGATGTGGAGAGAGTTCTAGATGACCCCCAAAACTGATTGGCCCTTCAAGTTTTATTCTTTGTGTTTAAGTCCGAATTTGGGATGGTTCCGAAAATTATATCACACATCTTTGTGTCCGGATTGAATTTCACCCACAAGAGGATTGAAAACTGGCTTCTGGTGTTGGCTATCACCCATAAGTCCCGAGTCCCGAGTTGTGGTGTCCAAGTATCTTTGTAGTAGGGCCCAGTTGGAAAATGTATTTTCTCCATTGATGGCAATCAACAATTGGGGTATGCCGTATGCCCCATTCTCAGACAAACCCAGATGTGACATGCCACAAAAGATGTCTTGAAATCACACCCCCATCACTGCTGTGGTAGATTGTGGAGATGATAAGAAGGTAGGTGGGGTCCAGATGAAAGTCTCATGGCCACTTTTCTTCACAGCTGAAAAGAAAGTGTAGTAACACATTGAACAGACGGAGTGTACGGCACAATGACAAGCAAGATTCCATCAAAATCAAAGTCTTCAAGCATCCGAACTTTCAATCTTGATTGAATTTGATTGAGATGCAACAACAGATGTTGAAACACGACAGGCCCACAAAAACACATGCATACCTTGCGATAAAGTTCCGATTCCACACTTCAATTTCCAGCCCATTCCGGACAGGGACTGTCTTACCGCTCTACCCGATGGCCTCTTCAACGGCTTCAGGAAACTTCGAACGCTGCAGCTGCAGAGCAATCAGCTGGTGAGACTTCCGCCAAAGCTGTTTCAGACTCTCGGCGAAGTTTAGTGGGCGTTCACAGAACTTTAGAGTGTGTGATGCAAGGTGACAGCCTCGTCTTCAGTGTCATTAATCATTTCAGTAACCGACAAAATTATTGTATTGTATGTAATGCTAGTTTAGTCTTGCTTCGCCGCCTTTCTGTTGCACAAATCCTTCACCGATAGCCCGATAGGGGACGACCCTATACATCCCTATACCGATACCCCATTTGTGATACCTCCCGGAGCACTGAAATCCTCACAACCGATAGAGGAGGACCCTAATTTGTGCATGGCATTAGATTTAACACATATTTTTGTCCGCTACTCATTTTGTTTCGTTTTTAACGCCAGAACGTGTGACAATTTTCACACTTTCATATAGCCTATGACAAAACAATGGGTCGTTTGCAAAAAGCTCTGAAGATCTGACGCAGTAATCTGTGTCTGTGGGAGTTCCCAAGGTCCGCCAGGGGTTGCACAGTTCCTACAAGCGTTTCTCAAACAACATGATTTGCCGTGCTGTTGGTGAGATTGAGTTAGTTATTTCCTCAAAGACCTGCAATTTTGCAAGCTATTCATACCGCAATATCCTCAATAGTTCAAGTCCTTTTTGCAAGTGACTGCTGAGGGAAAATGTCAACCGGCCTTCTAATTTGCGTGATGGTTGGCAACGTTGCCATGTGGAAACCGAAACTGTTTGAGTTTGCTGAACTGCATATACCCCTGCCCCAGCTAGCACCTGAGGAATTTGAGCTCCTTGGAGTTGCTGAACTTGAGTCGAAATGCACTCGAAGAACTGCCTCCCAGTCTTTTTGGTGGACTGAACTTGTCAGTGATCGACTTGAGTCACAACAAGCTGAGCACGCTCAATGCTACGCAGTTCGACCTGGAGAACCTCACCACCTTGGACTTGCGCGGAAACCGGTTGACTGACGCCACGCGGGAGGACCTGGCACGCCTCAAGGTGGAGCTCCATGTGGATTGAGGGTGCTGTGCTCCTGGAAATTGATGGAAATTGCCTTCGGAACTTGGGTCTGACTCTGATGATCTCAAGTTTTCTCCTCCGAGGCGGTGTTGAAGCTGCTACTAATTCACCGGTTTTCTCGCTACAAGACGCGGAGCAAAGGCTCGTGGCAAAAGTTGTGCGTCAGCTGTGAAGGTAGACACTCTCTGCGCATGCTGCACGCGCTGCACGCAGCATACTATGATTGGTAGAGATGTTGCTTTGCAGGTTTTGTGGAGGAAAGATGCAATGTTGCAACAATTGACAGACCTTTGTGTTGGCCGAAACCTTGAGGCTCCAGTTTCAGTTGCGCCAGGAAACAGAATGTTTACCATGGATTCCCATGGCATTTGCACCATGCTTTTCCGCCATGACTTTGGAACCCCTGATCTTATGATTGGCATTTGACGCCCACCCAAACATGAGAAGAGATCTGAACCATGGGCAACAGGTGGCCAGGCTGAACAGTGAACAAGTTTTGATCCTACACAGCTGAAGAAACACTTCCACTGCCATGGCCCGTATTCAAGTCCCAAAGAAGGGCACCTTCACGTGCGACAGCAGCACGGCAGAGTTGGCAGTGGAGTACTTGCGGCAAGTGTCACTTGGCTGTCACAGGCGGATCCAATGTGCCGTGGACACGATTGGACTTTGATTGGTTTTCGCGTTAGGTTTCTTGTTAACTGTTATAAAATTTATAATCTTTCCATATCTTTCAATGAAATGAAACATTGCAACTGTGGGGTCGTCCTCCAAGCATCCATTCCTGCAAGCGCTTGAGGTTGGATGAGCCTTGGCACGGCAATGTGCTGCTGTCCTGTGGTCCACACAAGTTGGAACCCAAACAGCGGCTGCAGGAATTCAATGCCGATTTTGTGCCTTGGTACGGGGTGTTGGTTTGTTTTTGTGGATGCTCCTGGTAACTTGATCAATATGCAGACAGACGGTTTGTGCTGCAGTTGTTGCGAAATCTGCACGTACCCTGGAAGAACGCAGGTCCGGAGGGTTGAAGGAGTTTTCAAAACCAGAGAGGCAGACTGTCCTCCATGCTCTCAGGTGTTCGCGAACTATTCGTGGCTCAGTTCCGGACCTCCAATTAATATCGCAGCAACAGAACTGCGAGGAATCACTATCGAACAGTTGTCTTCTTTGCAGCTTGGACTACACCGGCACACAGCATGGCAGATAACACGGCAATTCTATTTTTTTTGTTTTCACGTTCGCTTGTGAGCAAAGGGTCTGAAAAAGCATGAACACAACACATCACATCACATCACATCACATAAACGCAGACCTAAACTGGGCACCGAGGCTGGTCTTTGTAGAAGACGTTGCCTCCAGCTGGTGCGAAGCACACCACTTGGGATACGGGCAGCCTTTGTCTTTTGAGGCCAGGTGTTGGCATTTTAATTTCGGTCGTGTCGGTGGCGCTGCAAGGAAGCGACTTAAAACGATTAAAGCGTAAACAACAGCTGATAGTTCCAATTCTGTTTCGTTGGAATTCCTCATTCCGAAGGCCTGCTGCATTTCCGATTCTAGTTGCTAGATTTCAGTTGCGAATCTCCGATCCGCGAGGCCTTCAATTTGTACCATGCGAATTTCTGGGTCATTGGACCTGCTACAGCCGGTCACGGAAGAGGTGGCTGCAGCTACGTCGAGCTGGTGGCCACCTCGGCTCAGATGCAACGACCCTTGTGGCAACTCGGCTCCCGGAACATGGTGGAAAAACACGGAGTTCTTGGGAAAGGATACGACATGATTTGAGCCAAGCACGCTTCGCAATTGGAGATGTAGCCAACCATGATGGAGTGAGATTAGTGGCAATACCTGGGCATGGATTCAAAAGTCAGCACATTAAAATGATCAAACACATAAAACGAACAAATGCTTCGAGTGGTTTATTTGAAAGGGGTGTTCCTGGGTTCCCATGGCTGCAAGCTCTTCAAATGTAGTGGGTGAATGTTGTTGTTGAGGTTTGTCTCCCACGCTTGGCTGGAGCCGGTGTGCAAGTTCGTGGCGTGCCTCAAGTGTCACGCTTCTTTGCATCAGCTGCCCGATCAAACGGCTTACTGGGTGTGCGCCTACGCCAACAACCAGCATCAGCTGGAGAATGAGATTTGCAACAACCCCCGGAAGACGTCCTTCTATCGCGCCATCCAGTTGTGCGCTGGGGTCTTGCTAGTCTTGGATGAGAACGCCACACCCTTCACTCGGACCTTTGCCTGAAAGTTGGGAGCATGGGTTGGCGAGGTTTGGCAGGCAAGAGTAGACCCTTAAGATAGTTTTTGATTATGCAAAACATTGAACATCCTTTTCCTAAAGGAACGCCTCTCCTCAAAAGACGCGCAATTTACCCTTGCCCATTCATCCTGAGCTTTATAAGGATTTGGTGTTGCTTTGAAGAGTCCATTGCAGTGGAAGAACGCAACAAGGGGACGCTTGGCGTTGACTTTGACTTGCGGCTTGCTGCACATTGCATCGCTGATCATTGTTTATTTTCAGACTTTGACCAATTCTCACCTCTCTTGCCTTTTGCTTCTTCATCACTCTTTCTTTCTGCTTCTGTCAGTGTTATCCATGTTCCCATCCTTGTTCCGATTGAGCCGATGCTCTGAGCCTTTCAGGAACCCTTTGCTGCTGGATGTGGCGGCCACAGAGAACGGACGTGCCCATGTCATCACCGACGGCCTGGCGGGCGCCGAGCAGGAGATGATGCCGTTGCTTGGGTTCTTGGCGAAGAGTCGACGAGAGGCGGAATTCCCCACCGAAATTCTGATGTGACTTGGCCACTGAACGGTTGGGCCGGTTGGGTTGCTGAGCGATTGTTTTGGGGCAATGCAGTTGCAATCAGAATTTGGTGAATTTTGGATGATTGTGTGAGGCAACAGGGTACAGATTCAGATAAGAGAGTAGAAGTGACAAGCGTTGATGATGCGCGTAGTCGGGGTGGGGCAATTGCGATCGGCAATCTGTCCTGAGAATGGAAGCGGCTACTGCCATGCCCTGCCACTTTGTTGTTCCATGTTGCCACATATTAGGCACGTTTTGCACATGTGGTGTATGTCACTCACTCTACTTTCACTCGCCAGCAGTGACCTGGCAGTGTCGAGCCAAGGAAGGGCTTGGATGTCAACATTGCCAGCGCTATGGCAAGTGAACCCTCAGATAGGACCAAAATTCTAAACAGCATACGACTACCTCGAGCAGGGACTGTTTTTCTTGAACAAGAAGCCCGAGACGCTCATGAAAGCAACTTGATTGATCTTTGGAGTTCTTTTCCTTCTGATTTCCTCTCATCCCGTGCTGAGTCAACCCATTCTCCATGTTGTGTCCCCAGTGGCCAGCTCTGACTGTTTCCTTTGAAGTCTTGAGCCAAAGGGATCATGTGCCCAAAATGCCTTCAGTTTCGCTCAGTTTTTCCAAACTTTCGCGCTGAGGTTATGATGCAGTGGGCCGTGCGCTAGCTGGGCACTTCGCCCTAGCCAATTGGCTCCTTGGAATCAGATTGAATGCGCAATGGCGGAAATTTTCACCCCAGCCACTCAGCCACTCAGCCACTCAGCCACTCTGAGTGACTGAGTGGCTGAGTGGCTGGTCCAGCCACTCTGGCAGGGTGGCTGAGTGGCTGCGTCAGTCACTCTGGCAGAGTGGCTGAGTGGATGAGTGACTGACGCACAGAGTGGCTGAGTGGCAGAGTGGCTGAGTGGCTGAGTGGCCAGGATGAGCGACACTTCCTTCCACTAGTGATGGATTAGCTGTAACTTAAGCCCCGTAAAGTTTTTCACTACACACATGGCATCTGAATTTATATTCTTTGCTGGCGCCGTTTCGCGATGATGTTAGTTATTTGTATGCAATATAGTGTTCCAACGCGCTATGGACCAAACTACATTCGAATTCTACCATTTTCTTGTCAATAGTTTTGACCAATACAAAGAAACGTTAAACACAAAATCATCATAAGTGATCTTTCGGTCAATGTGATGCCGACAATGCTTTACACAAGCAATTCATTTGTTGAGAACGCCACTACTTTTACTTTTATCCTTTTGTCCGTCATTGCACGCTGGGAGTGTTCCTGTGTGTAAGGGGGAAAGCAGGCTACCAAAGTATGATTACAGCGGTTATGATAGTCTTGTTTGATGAAATCTATATGTCAAGTCCATATATTTTGAATAAGATAAGGGTTTTCTGCAATGAAAACCTTAATTTCATTGTAATAGGTTCAGGTGATGTCAAACAACTTCCAAGCATAGAGCCCTTCACCAACAACCAAAATGGAGAGGAGTATGTTGACAATTGCATTGACATAATTTTCAATTACAATATCTTTTTGCAGATATGCAAAAGAGTAGGAGGTAAAGATACAGAAGAGTTAAATGAAATCTATGATGATTTTTGGGAAACATATTTGGATTGGAAGTTGTGGATTGAAACACCTTTTTCATATACACAGATGACAAGTAAGAATAACATAGCATACACTGTATACACTAACATAAGGTGCCAAACAGTAGCAAATGAGGTAAGGAAGAGATTAAACAAAAAAGATAAATATGAACTTGGGGATATTTTAATATGCAGGGTTTACAAAAAGGACGAAGAGGGTAAATTGAATGTAAACATAAGATGGGAGGTTGTAGAAGTGGAGGGTAGAAATGTAACCATTCAAGACATCAAAAGCAAGGGACAAGAACCTTTGATGAAGATACTATAGACAAACATTTTAGGTATGCTTACTGTGCAAATTGCCACAGCAGACAAGGAACAACAATAAGGGACAACATAGCAATTCACGAATGGAACAAAAACTATTTGGTGAGCAAAGAATGGCTATGGTGTGCTGTAACCAGAGCAACCGATTTCAATGATGTATTTGTTCAAAAATGATAAAGCCGACGACGAGATGTTTAAGAATATGGTAGTTAACTATTTTAAAAACAAGGTTGAAGGTTACAAAGGACAAGACAGAAAAGGAGGAAGAGAAATAGTTGATGAATACATTGATGAACATTGGTGTTTGAAGATGTTCAAGGGTTGTTGTGCAAACTGTGGAGTTAAATTTAATCTTGATACCAGAGGTGGCAAATTGTCAAGTAACTTTACAGCACAGAGAGTTGATAATGGACTGTGCCATTCTATTGACAACTGCGAGGCTTATTGTTGCTACTGCAATTCTTCTTCACATTAGATGGTTATTTTGAAAGTTTTGTTTTTCAAAATAATAATTTTAATATATCTTAATAATATTAATATGATTGGAAGAAAGCAACAACGGAGAAGGAGAGAACCTCACACTTTTTGAACGGTGAATGTACAGTAGAGTCCATTGATGAAAAATTGAATCAAACATATTATACATTAGAAGGATACAACAGACCACTATTAAGGCATGAATTGCTGAACATATAAATTACTATTTATACGAAATCTACTTAAAGGAATATTGTCTATATATCTATATATATATATATTAGTGAAATGTCATTCAGTGATACAAGTAGTGAAAGTGAAATCAATCAAGAAGAATACATCAAACAAACTTAAGCTGTAAATGTAGTGAATGTGCAACAATAAAATCAATTATCAAAAATATGTTTACCGATGGTATTGGTAATAATATTTGTGAATATGTAGCCTGTAAAAGTTGCTCAAATATAATGAGTCATTTTGATTCAATTGAATTTGATATTAACCCTTGTGACGATGATGATATTGATGAACATATTCAAATATACATATTATACCAATAAATTTCCAGATGATAAAATGAATTTAGTATTAAATGAAAAAGAAATGAGACATTATCAAGATTATGGACAAGGATTGAAACACATGTTTTAACAATTCATATTCTACTGTTGCATTATGCGCCTTAGACATGAAGATTAATGATGTTGATGGTATGGATGATAATTTTAACCATGAAACGGCTATAGATTGTGTAAGAAAAATGTCGTTGTATATCAAAGACAACGAACAGTTTATTGGACATACTGTTATTGACGAGAATACGTTTGACAAATTGTATGAAAGAATACAACAAGGGATCTATATTTGAACCCCATAAATTTTCATATCAAATAGTATGATGATTTGTTTTTAATGATATAAGGAAATACACTTGAAAGGATGATACCTTATAATAGTATGGATAGTAGAAGTGCACAAAGTGTAAGAAAAAAACATGGTGACGAGTTCAATGGAATGAATAGAATGTGTATTGAATGCTTGGACAAACAAAAGGAGAGAGTAAAAAGTCTATAATCAAAAGGACGTATTCTGCAACGTTTGCCAACGGAATGTGAAACAATGCAGCCTGTCCAAACGTCTTAAAACCGACAGGCATATCAACAAGGAAAAACTCAAAAAGGAAGAAGAGAAAAAAAAGGAGGCATACCTAAAAGATGATGAAACCAGAATTGCAAAATTGAAACAAATCTGTAAAACCATTACACCAAAAAAAATAAACAACTCTAACCCCGTATTTTTTCATATATCATAATATAAGAAAAATATGATACGGTTACAGATGGATGATTTAGATTTATGATAATATTTTATGATATTATACTATGATAAAACATTATGATGAAATTTTATGATGAAATTTCATGATGAAATTTTGTGATATGAATTTATGTGATGATGGATGATGATGAAATGATGTGGGATGTTGATGATGTATGAAATGATGTGGTTTTATCTTGCGTTGATACTGTGATGAAATGATATGACATGCTATGAAAATGAACTGTGGTAAATGATGAAATGATGGAGGTGGATGGACATGAACTTAGGTGTGTTTGTGTCTAGCTATGTATATATATATGTAATTTATTTAATTCATAACATACATATATTTAAAAAAATCAGAACTACAATCAAATGTCTCATTCCTTTCGCCATGATGATCCGCAGAGACCCACAGAGCGAACCCCTTCAACACGAGTGACTAATGACTTCTTTCTCACAACCCTTTAACACAGATGTTTGCATAAAAATCCATTCAATCCATAGAAATATATGCCCCAGTGCCTACAAGGATAAGGAAGGAACCCTAAATTAGCATAAAACCTCACTTGAAAAGCTACCCAGACCTAAAAAAAATTAGGTTTGGGTAAAAATGCTTACACTCCACTGGCTAAACTACACTAACTATTCATCCACTGAGACATTCTGCCAGAGTGGCTTGGTGCAGCCACTCAGCCGCTCTGCCACTCAGCCACTCTGCCGCTTTGGTGAGAGTGGCTGGACCAGTGGCTGAGTGGCTGCTTCGATTTCGCGAGCCGTGTTGCACATCCACTCGAATTTTGAGAGAATTGATTTACCGTACACTTCGAATCAGACGTCTTTTTGTGGAGAGTACGATTTTGCCGTTCTGCCTCTCAAACGGCTTGGATCTTCGCCAAATGCCGCAGCTGAGGTTTTCTTCCATAGCGAAAGGTCTGGACACCTCGAGGTGGGCTAAACCCAGCCGAAGCAGGGTTCGGGTACAGAGCAAGGTTCATCAGTCAAGAATTGCAATCTATGGCTGACATTATTTCTGAAGGTTTTTCACACAGGGTGCAATCTGCGGATCATTCATTTTTTTAAACCATGGATTGAAGTTGGACTGTGGCCACTGGGTGTGGCAGTTGCTCGTTGATTTGGACACTGCAGATACCGGGAACACGTTTGGGACTCTCTGACCTGCAATTTTGACGCTCCAGCGGCCTATAGGCTCTTAACAGCTCTGCAAAACGACGAGAAGCGACGTGTGGTGCAGCTCTCCTTGACGGGATGTTGCAACTTGACCACAAAAGAGTGCTGCAGACATCCAACGATGTCCACCAGAAAAAGAATTGCTGGGCAAAAAATGAGGTCTAGAGTCTAAAGGGAGCAAGCTGGGTATGGATAGAATGGGATTCGGAGTGCAACCTCCTAAGCCTGCTTCCCGGGATGGAAGGCACACACTCTAGCCCACTAAAGGTTTACGTCCTGAGAAGCTAAGATGTCATTTATTGGGTATGAATTGTAATTGAGGGTTCAGAACCAATGCAAGGGCTTCTTTTTTCGCAGGTGTCCAGTATACCAGTGATGTCCTCCCAGCCGGTGAAACATTCTCCAACAGGTGCATAGCAGGTGGGTCGATCTGAGCCGTTTTGCGCCGAGGCAAGTTTGATGACGCACAGCTCAGCACTTTTCTGGAACACTTGCCGCCTCAACTGCAGGTCCTGCGTGCCCTGGCTCGGATGTCGGATGTTGCCCCAAGATTTGAAGTTCCGGTCCAAGCATGTTTAAACTTAAACCATTTCAAGCTTTAAGCCGATTAAATACGTTTAGAGCCATGAACCCCAAAACGTTTCAATGTTTACATATGTTATGGGGCTGTTTGAACATGTCCCGAATGAGTGATGGAGGAAATAAGAACGGGTCAGCGAAAAAGAAGCACCAGGGTGATGTCACTATCATCAGATTTCTCAGTGCTTGATTCTGCAAGTGCGCATGATCTCATGCAGTTGGGCCCACAATCTCTTGGAATTCGTTTATACAAACATGAACATGTTTCAGCATGTTTTTAAAGCTTGTTTAAACGAACTTGCTAGGGCCCCCGACTACCCCGGATTAGTTTAGGCATTTTTGGGTTTAGACATGGTTTAAACAGTAAACACAGTGTTTAAACCGTTTAAACCAACCCCAGGCCCAACCGTGGAAGAGATTGGTTGAAAGATACTGCAAGCCTTCCAGCCAACTGCACCCCTCGAGGGAAACCGGGGATCAACTGAGACCCCCCAAGATCCGTTGGAAAGATGGGGGACCATATGCCGCAGCATCCCATTCTGAGGCTTGGACCTGGGCTTCACAGCCGTGGAATGCGTGCAGTTGGACGCGCCATTGTCGGAACTGCAGGAGCTCTCCCTGCGCATCATCAAGACGCCTCTGCGCCAGGTGCGGGTTGGGAGGTGAGTCAAAAATTCGAATCTTTGAAACCATGTGGGATCCCACACTACGGCTATAAACATCCACCTTCGCAGAATTTCGGGTTTGAGGCTGGTGTTCCCCTGCCTTTTTACTGCTTCGTGTCCAAACAGACATATCGTTCAACCTCAGGTGAAGCTGCAACGGAGTATGATGCCGAAGCTGCGAGTCTCGGCAAAGCTGCTGAGTTTTGGGTCGCAGCGTTTGGACTTGGCAAAATTCACCCAACAGTAGATGCCTGTAAGCGGTTTGCCATGGATACCCGGGTCAGGCCAGTCATTCTGAAACATCCAAATGCCCCTATGTCACTTTGGAGTTCATCGACATGGCGGTTCACAGCATGCTCAGAAGCGAAGAAATCTCGAAAGATTGCTCCAGAACTACAGCATGATTGGTGAGAGGGAGATCCAGTAACGGCTTTGATGTTTGTGAAATGGAGCCTCACTTTTGTAGAAAGATGTGCATCGGAGTCTTCACTTTTCTGGCTTTTGCGGGTCTGTCCTGAGTTGGCTGAGGATCCATGCAACTTTGGTTGTCCAGTTTGCCCGAGCTGGAGGAGTCTGGATGATCGTTGATTTGTTTGCCAAGGATGCATCTAAAGGATAAGGGATCATAAAGGTGTCACAGGGTATATCGTCATTGTTCTTAATTGATTATTCTGTAATATTCTGTCAATATACGGATATCAGTGGGATTGCCTGGGCATTGATATTGATCTTAAGGCCTTTGTCATGAGTTTGCGGTTTATACCATGTTTCTTTTCGAGTTCGCCAAGTAACAATTTTATCGAGAAAGGCTTGCGAAAGTCAGATCTCCTTAAAACAATGACAGAACAATCACACAACCATTCAATATGCAACCTACCAGGATAGTTCTCATGAGAGTTCCGAGAAAGGAACGGGCAAAATTCATGATCTGGCAGGTCCTGACTGAGTCCTGTCTTCACAAGGGACATGGTTCTTGCCGCGAAAGGTTCACGAAAGTACTAGATATGATGTTTCGCGAAGAAGGCATTTCCAGATGAAAGAAAAGATCAACAAACGTACGATTTTGACTGTAAAAAAGTGCCACCTAGACCCAGCCAAACCCAGACCCTGAGCAACCTTGTCCCACTCAACCGTCTTTGACAACTGGTGTTCTCTCGAAAATTGCAACCCCAACATCCAATGGTTCAAAATCTTAAGCCTCGTTTTCAGCACCCAAATCTGCCACAACATATCATAACTTGGGGCATCCTCCAATTTAAGATTATCATGACTGGCTTCCGGTGGCTGAACCAGGAGCTGCAACTGCTCTTGAGACGCAACTGTGACGGGCTGAGAGAACTGGTTCTGCATGTGCACAGATGTCCCAAGTTGGCAAAGGCTGCCAAGCACCTTGGCCAGTTGTGCCCGCCGTGTTCGTTTCCACACCAACGTGTCAATGCAAACACTGCCCATTAACATCCATTAACATGCATTGACATTCATGAACAATCATTAACATCCATGATACATTCCTGAACTTCCAGGAACATCCATCAACATCTTTAAAACACTTTAAGTATCGACCTTTTTTACCAACATCGATCAACCCATGGGGATTTGGGACACCTGGCTTTGGCGCGGGGGATCCAATTTTATGGCAGGTTTGATTAGGGAAATTCTTATAAACCAGTATTAGCAGTAGCATGTATGAACCATGGTTCGAACCAAATTGAAGTACGTGGTTCGAACCTATCTCTATGTATAGCATATGTTTATCTGTAGGAAATTCCCTTGCAAATATATCCATGCACAGTTGAATAGTAGGTACCTTTATATGTTTATTAGACTATGCCATTATAAGTCAACTTGAAGAGTTTCTTCTCTTCCAAAAGCTCCAAGCCCAGGCAAAGCATCTACAACTCTGTCCACGGGTGGCCCTGGCGCCACACGGACAAATGGATCAGCATCGAAGAGGCTGAATCTGCCTGGTTTCAGATGTTCGGAGGCAAAAATCTTCCGGAGGATGCCATCCCCAGAGCAAGAGCAAGGTTTGATGCTGCGAAGTTTCAGGAGATGAGTCCAGATCTGCCCTTCCCTTGCAGCGAAACAAACTGCAGCACCTTCCACCCCAATCGACATGGCTTTTGCCACAAGCATCGCTTCCATCGTTTTGGAAGGAAACTATCCGCTGCAGTAGTGAGAACCTTGGGCTGGTCGGAGTTGGTCCTCCTTCTCACCATTCAAGCAGCGGCAGAGATCCAAAGCAGATTTTTGCTTTTGGTGATTTTAGTGTCGTTGCTTCCAGTGACCTGCATTTTTCTCGAGGAAAGCACTGGCATGTCAGCTGCCTCTATTTGCGTCACATTCCTGGTCGTTTCCGTTGGCACTTGTTTGTACACCGCCAAGCGCTTGGATGGTATGCAACAGAGCGTCTTCAACGTGGCGCTTGCCACTGAAGCCAGCTACTTTCAAGTGCTGCAGCCTTCATCAGAAACCAGCAACAACCTGGTACAGGTGTCAACCATATTGAGGAGCCATACAGACGGCTCATCTCAAGAGCTACAGACCCAGCAAGACTTGAGAAGGAACTATGAGCTAGCGAAAAGTCACATGAGTATTTTTCAGAGTGCTGTTTGTGAACCACTTGCAAGCACAGGGCTAGAAGTTGTTGCGAAGATGAAATCCCTTACAGAGCTGGACGAAAGGGAAGGAGGAGCGGATATTTTGTTTTGCGAAGTCTGGTGTGACAGTCTGCAGGAAGTCCAAGATGCGTGGGACATGCTGAAAGACTTGGATGGTGTGGAAATCGTCTCAGCTCGCGATTTTTTCGCAGTTGCATCTTACAAAAAAAACTGTCAAGTTGTGGTGTCTCTCCAGGGTTACTTGACCACAGTTGTTTTGCTGGAGAAATCTCTGAGTTCTTGGGAGGCTCAGAAAGGCCTCTCTGACGCAGCAGATTCCCTAGGTCTTTTAGACAAGACCAAGGCATCAGCTTGGGAAGTTTCTCGACTCCAACGTGATTCCGAGGTCCCCAGATGCGTGTTTGTGGCCACTGCTTTCCTGCGACTAGTTGCACTTTCCTCGTGTTAAATCATTGGCGGAAAAATTGGCGGCAAGAACACCTCCTCCAGCGGGGACCCATTTTTTGGTCTGTACGACACTCTGCACCATTGTACCGATCTTTACGAGGATGGTTATGGCTATGGGTCTGAGTGTGGAATGAGTCTGGATCTGAGGATGCTCGCCATGACCTTGCCCTTCTTGATATGTTTTCTGATCCTGCTGTGGGAGATGAAGTGCTGTTGCTGCTGTCTTTGCTGCCGGAAGCATCGAAGGAGCTTCAAAATTCGTCCACGGCCAACCCAACTCTGGTATCGAACATATTTGGGTGTGCAGGGATCCCACTATGCCTTTAAAGTTGCAGCCCTACAGTTCTTGACAGTGGTGATGCAAGGGCTGGCCAAAGCCAGTCTATTCCGGACCATCCAGGATACCCATGGCTCTGAATCCTTGCGGGCCAGCACCACTGTTCACTGCTTCATCGTGCTTCTTTTGTGTAACATCCTCTTTCCAGCCATGATTCTTGTGATACCGAACTATGTCTTTAGCCGTGTCGGTGCAGCTTTGCTCGATGCAGTTCTGGATGTCGGCTACATGGTGACCTCGATCTGGCTATACTATAGCTTTGCCACAACAGAGTCTTTGACCGACATTTTTTTGAGCAGTTTCTTAAACTACATGTCAATTTACATCTGCATCGCACATGTGTTGTGCGTGTGTCGATCTTTGGAGACTGCAGATTGGATCGCGCTTTTCCAAGTCCCGCGGGCTCCCCCCACCGGCAAAGCCTGGAAGAGAATGAGCCTCTCCTCTGCATATGCTCTTACTTTGTTGGCTTTTGTTGGCATTCTGGTCGGGGGCATCGTACTTGGTGCCTTCTCAGACTCGAGTCATGCTGGACTTTGTCCACCCTGCGAGTGTTCAACTGTTGCACCAACATCGCTTCTGCTCGATCGCTGCATGATTCCCACGGGCTATGTTGCCCAGGCTGCTGGCAGGTTGGAGTTCAACTTGACGAATCGCAACATCACAGAAGTTCTGCCAGATGCATTCATTGCAAGGGGTGCACACCAAGAAGTAGGATCTATTTCGCTGCGTGGAAACCATTTGACAGAGCTGCCAGAGGGACTTTTTCGTGATCTTCTGAAACAGAAGTACTCGTACATTGACACCATAGACCTGGCTGACAATAGAATTGCGACTCTTCCCCAAACTTTGTTTCAAGCCGGTTCCTCCGGAGGATTGTTTGTGATACGCGAGTTGCATTTGGAAGGAAATTGTTTGACGACACTTCCACCTGGAGTCTTTCATGGTCTCGGAGTTGATTACTTTGGCATCCTGGACATGTCGCAGAACAAGTTGCAGACGTTACATGCACAGACCTTTTATAGTCTCCAATTTGGTCAGAGCGGCATCCTGGACATGTCGCAGAACCAGTTGCAGGAGTTGCGTGCAGGAACCTTTCATGGTCTCACATTTGGTGGGAACGGCATCCTGGACATATCGCACAACAAGTTGCAAGTGTTGCATGCAGACGCCTTTCATGGTCTCACCTTTGAAAAGTACGGCATCCTGGACATGTCGCAGAACAAGTTGCAGGTGTTGCATGCAGACACCTTTCATGGTCTCACCTCTTATTCTCACAGCAAGTTGGACATGTCTCAGAACAAGTTGCAGACATTGCCTCCCAATGTCTTTGACGGTCTTGAGCTCGACCGACTTGGTTACGGGGGCATCCTGGACATGTCACAGAACAAGTTGCAGGCGTTGCATGCAGAAACCTTTCATGGTCTCGTATTTGGTGAGAGAGGCATCCTGGACATGTCGCAGAACAAGTTGCAGGTGTTGCCTCCGAAGGTCTTTTATGGTCTCTCGTATCTTCGCAGCCTGGACCTGGCGGAGAACGAGCTGTCGACGCTTTCGGACGATGTCTTTCACGGTCTCTCGTCTCTTCGCAGCCTGAGGCTGGAAGGCAACCGGCTCCGGAGCCTTGGCGGCAGAACCTTCTACTGGTTGTACAGCTTGAGAGAGCTGAACCTGGAGCAGAACCAGCTGACAGATCTGGATGAAGATTCATTTGATGGATATGTCGCCTATGAGTATATCGACAATGGTTACTATGGGTATCAGTCCCTGAAGCGGAACCTGTTGGAGCTGAACCTGGGTGGCAACCGCCTCACCGCTCTACCCGATGGCCTCTTCAACGGCTTCAGGAAACTTCGAACGCTGCAGCTGCAGAGCAATCAGCTGGAGAGACTTCCGCCAAAGCTGTTTCAGACTCTCGGCAAAGTTCATTGGGCGTTCACAGAACTTTAGAGTATGTGATGCAAGGTGACAGCCTCATCTTCAGTATCATTAATCATTTGAGTAACCGACAAAATTATTGTACTGTATGTAATGCTAGTTTAGTCTTGCTTCGCCGCATTTCTGTTGCACAAATCCTTCACCGATAGCCCGATAGGGGACGACCCTATACATCCCTATACCGACACCCCATTTGTGATACCTCCCGGAGCACTGAAATCCTCACAACCGATAGAGGAGAATCGTGCTGTTGGTGAGATTGAGTTAGTTATTTCCTCAAAGACCTGCAATTTTGCAAGCTATTCATACCGCAATATCCTCAATAGTTCAAGTCCTTTTTGCAAGTGACTGCTGAGAGAAAATGTCAACCGGCCTTCTAATTTGCGTGATGGTTGGCAACGTTGCCATGTGGAAACCGAAACTGTTTGAGTTTGCTGAACTGCATTTATCCCTGCCCCGGCTAGCACCTGAGGAATTTGACCTCCTTGGAGTTGCTGAACTTGAGTCGAAATGCGCTCGAAGAACTGCCTCCCCGTCTTTTCCACGGGCTCAAATTGTCAGTGATCGACTTGAGTCACAACAAGCTGAGCACGCTGAATGCTACGCAGTTCGACCTGGAGAGCCTCACTACTTTGGACTTACGTGGAAACCGCCTGACAGACGCCACGCGGGAGGACCTGGCACGCCTCAAGGTGGAGCTCCATGTGGATTGAGGGTGCTGTCCTGGAAATTGTTGCCTTCGCAACTTGGGTCTGACTCTGATGATCTCAAGTTTTCTCCTCTCCAAGGCGGTGTTGAAGCTGCTACTAATTCACCGGTTTTCTCGCTACAAGACTCGGAGCAAAGACTCGTGGCAAAAGTTGCGCGTCAGCTGTGAAGGTAGACACTCTCTGCGCATGCTGCACACAGCATACTATGATTGGTAGAGATGTTGCTTTGCAGGTTTTGTGGAGGAAAGATGCAAAGTTGCAACAATTGACAGACCTTTGTGTTGGCCGAAACCTTGAGGCTCCAGTTTCGCGTCAGGAAACAGAATTGTTACCATGGATTCTCATGGCATTTGCACCATGTTTTTCCGTAATGACTTTGGAACCCCTGATCTTATGATTGGCATTTGACGCCCACCCAACATGAAAAGAGATCTGAACCATGGGCAACAGGTGGCCAGGCTGAACGGTGGACAAGTTTTGATCCTACACAGCTGCAGAAACACTTCCACTGCCATGGCCCGTATTCAAGTCCCAAAGAAGGGCACCTTCACGTGCGACAGCAGCACGGCAGAGTTGGCAGTGGAGTACTTGCGGCAAGTGTCATTTGGCTGTCACAGGTGGATCCAATGTGCCGTGGACACGATTGGACTTTGACTGGTTGAAACTGCTGGAATTCGACGAGTGCTTTTTGTCCTGTAAGCTTTGTTCGCAATGCTCACTTGTGCTATCGTGAATTTGGATCCCAACAACCTTTGCGCTGTAAGGGCCAAAGGTCACAAGAATTGATGAGGACTCTTGATGCTCAACCCAGCTCTTAAGTGTGCTGGCAAGGTAAAGATGTAGTTCTCCTTGAACTTGCGGATGACTACTCCTTTTTGGAGGACTCGCTCGGATCCTTACCTTTTCTGTTTGCAAGAGCCCTGCAGCTCAAAGCAAAGCTTGACCTCGCTCCTTTTTCGGAAAAACAATAGGTCCGGGGCATCTTTGGTGAAAATTGCAACAAAACAACAGCCAAGTCGCCAGCAGCAGTTCGACACAGCCACTGAAAATAGGCCAGCGTGAAGTTTCTTCATGTTCTTAGCTCTAGCACCATTGAAATAAGACAGAGTTTTACGTGAGCTGCGTGCCAGCGGACCATGGCATCAACGTTGTTTTGGACCAGTTTTGCAACTGCAAAATCTGTGATGGCCAAGGCTAGCTCTGGCTTGAAATCTACCACAAGCAGCGAGCCTCTGGAATCAGGAATCAGGCCTCCAAGAAACAGTGCCAGCTCTCGTCATCACCAACTTCTTGCCTTGTGCACGCCCGATGAGAGGTGAGACACTGTGACAATCAGGTGACAATGGGGTGGCAATCAGGCGACAGGTGTTCGCCAGACATGAGAGAAGCATTCAGTCGAGCCCAGGCGGATGTTCTGCAGAGGGGGCTACCTGCTACCAGAGTCCATTGGCATAGCAGGTTGCCCTTCCTTACCTGGCCGCTCCAGCAGTCTTCGGCAGCATGTTTTGCTGCTTTTTCCAACTTTTGTGGAGGACGCAGTCGTCATACATTTCATTTTTGGAAAATTCACTGCACACTGCTGTGTCACGCGGCGCAGGGTAAACTTAGTAAGTAGCACAACAGCAAGCCATAAGTTAAGTGCCCAAGAAGTGGCGTCCAGACGCAAGAAAATATTTGGTCCAGGATTCCTATGATATCATTGGTATCCCGAAGCCATGTCATTGGCATCGAAAAAGACACTTGTCCGATTGCTTTTTCGGAGGATTTTCTCAGCAAAGGCTCTGTGCAAACTTCCGGACTTGGCCTTGTCCTGAGTTGCGCTTCGAGGTACTCCTACCAGCGGTTTAAAGTCGGGTCCGATAGCCTGACGCCTGACCTAGCCGGTCTGGTATATGTTTTTTTGGATTTTTGGGTGATGTTCAAGGAGGCACCTGCCATATCTCGCCAGGCGCTGTGACGAGCTTGCAGCGTCCACGTCTTTCTTGAGCTGCCGGTTGACGCTGTCACCCTCGTCAACCTCATTGTGTCAACTTCATCTTGGAATGCAGCAGATGTTGAGGGAAGAGGTTCTTCCCCGACACTTGTTTTTGTTAGGGATCATTCATTGTTGAATTTCCAATTTAGTATAATTGCCAGTTCCAATCACACCCGCGGAAATCGGTTTGTCTCTCTGGAAAATGCATTTTGCTTCAGAACTTGGCTTCTCGGATGGACTTGAGGGAAGAGTTCTTTCGGGGCTCGCATCCTGCAACTGCATTCTGCAACGCCGCGAAGGTCAATTGAGGTTGGCTGCGAAGGTTCCTTGGTAGTTCAGGTTGGCTGCTGTGCATCCGTTGGTTCAGTTGGTTCCTCTGTCGTGCGCGCTGCTGGAAACCATTGGTCCAGGAGCTGGGGATCGATTTGTCAAATCGAAGTTACCGCCCGAAAGGGCCGAAAGGGCTTCAAACTATTGACCCCAGCATGGTTCGCAATTTTTAAGAGATATCCACATCTGAAGGGAAAAGTTCTCTGAGAGAGCTCGTTTTCCATTTTGCATGGGAAGCAAACTATTGCTGTCTATGAAGAAATTCTTGGTCCTGCAGTCCATTTCATGTGAGCGAGTTCCCTCGGCCTCGCGGTAAGGCCAAAGTGATGGAAGGCCGCAAAGAGGTGTAGGATGAACAGGACCTGTTTTGCCACTTTGATGTGTTTTTATGTGTTTTTCATGTGCATTCTATCGCCTATCAGCAACGTGTTGTGAGGCCTTCGGTTTCTGCCGCTTCTTCCCATTGCGAACATTGAGGTAAGAGATTCTACCCGAGCACTTCCTTTGGTGACTTGAAGGTGACTTGAAGGTGACTTGAAGGTGACTTGCTTGTTTGTAAATCTTTGTATTCAAATCTCGATTCCCGCTTCCCTTTTCACAGGAATGCTAGCGCTCTCCCAGGGTCGTCGTGTGACGTGTGAAACGTGTGCTTTGTGCAGTCCCACCTGAAAGCTTCCATAAATGTCAAAAATGGCATAGCCCGGGCTCCAACTTATTGCAGTTAGCTCATTTGGCTTCTCATTTGTGCGGAGAGGTGTCCATCTTGGTCGGCTATGGCACCACATGGCACCCAAGAATGTTGCATGGCAAAAGATGTTGGTAGAGGTTTTTGAACGACTTCTGGTGCCCCATTTGCAACATCTGCAAGTCTGACGTTCGCGCGGCCGTTTCTGATCAGCTACCCGCTACGCCTCCCAACATCATACACCCACCAAAAAGCACCTCATACGTGCTTCACTTGGAAGTTGCCTTGAAAGCCAGAGATGAGATGACATGCGACTTGCAAGTGCCTTTGTTGACTTGGTTGCCCTGGTTGTTATTGGCCTGAAGCTGCCCTGATGTTGGCACTCCATCGGGTCTTCTTTGGGGATGCGCAAGATTTGCGAGTTGTGCTCCGAACATGGTCCTGTCCAGCCAAGGACCCAGAAGTGGGACCTTTGCCAATGACTGTTTCCGTCACATTCTGGGTGAGTTTTTTTTCCAACAATTGGAGCCAAATCAAAGAGTGAAATATCAGGATGAATTTAATCAAGTTTGTGTGTGTATATATATATTATTAATAGATATACATGTATATATATATATATGTTATGTATATATTAGTTATATATATATATATATGTATATGTTCTCTATATTCTATACATGCATGTTAACTTAGTGGGTATACAACCATACTGCCAAAGATGACCAACCCAACTGTTGGAGTTGGAGGCTTGAATTCTTTATCAACAATCGCCCCATTGAGCTGATCGACAAGATATCCAACCAAGAATCATCTCTCATGGGCACAATTGAATACTATTGACAGTGCAAGTCGAGCATGCAAGTTCTATCAAGTTGTTGTGATTGTTTGTGGATGTTTGTGGTGTGTTGCAGAACTGTGGCCCAAGCCTGACTTCCTCCGCTCTGATCCGCTCTGCTTTTTGCCTCATGGATCCCGCAGACAGTGATGCTGCACGGCTGACGACAGCTGAGACAAGTCTCAACATCCCCGTGGACTCTGAGTGGAGCTTGTCCAGCTCAAGCAGCTCACATGAAGCAGCTCAAGAAGCTCAAGCAGCTCAACAGGATATGCAAGAACTGCACGCAGTGGAGGAGCACGATCATGCCGTCCTTGCTGGTGACGGTGTACAGGTTTTTCGCGGCCAGTGGGACGACGAGGGTGTGTACTTCTATCAGGCTTACAACGATGAGATTGCGGAGTGGGCAGTTCAACACCAGCAGTTTGGTGGCCCTCAATTCAACCCTACACGCATGACTTGGATTAAGCCCTCCTTTGCTTGGGTCCTTTATCGTTCTGGTTACGCACGAAAGCACAACCAGACAAGGATTCTCAGGGTGAAGCTGTCGCACATTTCTGCTGCAGAACTCCTAAACCACTGCCAGTGTCGAACAGGAGGAGGGGGCTCCAAAGGCCGTGTGCAGTGGGACCCCGAGCGAGATCTCATGTCAGGGGACGGCAGGGCTCCACGAGAGATGCTGCGCCGCCGTGCGATCCAGATAGGTTTGAAGGGTTCACTCTCAGAGTTCTATGTCAAGAGCGTCATCGCCATTGAGGATGTCACTGAGCTTGCGCACCGTGTTCAAGCAGCACACACTGCAGCCGATTCAAAGATGGCGATGTCACAGCTCCTGCCAGAGCTGCCAGTTGAAAGACCGTATATGCCATGCTGCGCAGCACCCGTCCTCACTAGGCTACGGATGCTGCCTGGAGGTGGTCCTCTCCATGAGCGCCGGAGCAAGAAGCATAAAAAGCAGCGATCTTGACATATCTTGACCAGCCACTTGTAGATCCAGCTGGCAGTATTTGAACGTCTCAGCTTGGAATCGTGGTTCATTCCTTTAGCTTCTAGCAATGGTTCTCGGGGCTCTCAAGGCCTAGCTACGCATTTGTACAGATGCTCAATGTACAGACCAGGTCGCAATGCAGTTGCCATATGCGAAGCACAAAACGCAGGGTGTTTGCTCGATGATCCCGGAAGCATGACCTGGGAACCTGGAGAAGTGTGACCAGGAGAATCCTCAAGAGTTGACTGATAGACTATGACATACCATGACTCATCCTGTCCTACGTGAAGGTTTCAAAAATAAACTGCAACTGCTCAGGTAGCATTGTTATGC